GTGATAATTTCCAGAATCCCAGGGCGATTAGGATTCCCTATCCGGGTTCGCTGTGTGATCAGAGCGATCCACTTACTCCATGTGGCATCGGTGGCGTGATGTGTAGAAGGAACTCTTCCCTTGAACATCCAGCCCAGCACTGGTAGTCGGGGTGCCAGGAGGAGCTGCGCTTCGGTGCCGATCACTTCTGAGGCAGCTCGAACTCCTTCATAAGCAGCCAGGATCTCTTTCTCAGTTGGTGTATAGCTGGCTTCAGATCCCTTGTATCCCCGACTCCAGAATCCCAGCGGTCGTCCTCGGGTCTCCCCAGGCACTTTCTGCCAGAGGCTCCAAGAAGGGCCATTCTCCCCGACTGCGGTATAGAGCACATTCTTCACGTCCTGTCCTGTCCTTACTGGCCCAAGGGCTACCGCATGGGCAATCTCCTGTTTAATTTGTTCAAAGGCTTGTTGTTGTTCGGGGCCCCACTGGAAATCATTTTTCTTCCGTGTCACAAGGTAGAGAGGGCTTACAATCTGACTATACTCGGGGATATGCATCCTCCAAAAGCCCACAGCGCCTAGGAAAACCTGTGTTTCCTTCTTGCTGTTTGGTGGGGACATGGCTGCTATTTTGTTAATCACCTCCGTTGGAATTAGGCGGCGTCCATCTTGCCACTTCAATCCTAGGAAATGAATTTCCTGAGCAGGTCCCTTGACCTTACTCCGTTTAATGGCAAAACCAGCTCTTAGGAGTATCTGGATTATCTTCTCTCCTTTCTCAAAGACTTCTCCCACTGTGTTCCCCCATACAATGATGTCATCAATGTACTGTAGATGCTCTGGAGCCTTGCCCTTTTCCAGTGCAGTCTGGATCAGTCCATGGCAAATGCTGGGACTGTGTTTCCACCCCTGAGGCAGTCGATTCCAGGTGTACTGCACACCTCTCCAAGTGAAAGCAAATTGTGGCCTGCACTCCGCTGCCAAAGAAATGGAGAAAAAGGCATTGGCAATGTCAATGGTGGCATACCACTTGGCTGCCTTGGACTCCAGCTCATACTGGTGCTCCAGCATGTCCGGCACAGCAGCACTCAGGGGTGGTGTAATGTCATTGAGTCCATGGTAATCCACTGTCAGCCTCCACTCTCCGCTGGACTTACGCACTGGCCATATAGGGCTATTAAAGGGTGAGCAAGTCTTGCTGACCACCCCCTGGGTCTCCAGGTCACGGATCATCACAGAGTCTCGGTCGGTGCGGTATTGCCAACGGTGCACTGTTGCTGTGGCTATCAGTACCAATTGGTCTTCAACCTTCAGCAGTCCCACAGCAGAGGGGTCCTCTGAGAGACCAGGCAAGGTGTTCAACTGTCTAATTTCCTCTGTCTCCACAGCAGCTATGCCAAAAGCCCAATGAAGTCCTTTTGGGTCTTTGAAATACTCACTCCTCAGGTAATCTATGCCAAGGATACACGGGGTCTCTGGGCCAGTCACGATAGGGTGTCTGTGTCATTCCTTCCCAGTCAGGCTCACTTCAGCTTCCAGTACAGTCAGCTGTTGGGATCCCCCTGTCACCCCAGAAATGGAGATGGATTCTGCCCCTACGTATCTTGATGGCATTAATGTACATTGTGCGCCAGTGTCCACTAAAGCCTTATATCTTTGTGGCTCTGATGTGCCAGGCCACCGAATCCACACAGTCCAATAGACTCGATTGTCCCTCTCCTCTACCTGGCTAGAGGCAGGGCACCCCTAGTCCTGGTCATGGTACTCATTGTGCTCTTCTTGTGGGTATGACCTGGAGGTCCCTTCAAGAGGATCAGACGTATCATCATTCCTGTACCGTCTGGAGTCTTGCCCACGAGAGACTGGAGCAACGTTTACCCTTGAAGAGTTCTTTATGGTGTTTGTTCCTCTTTTTAGTTCACGTACCCGGGCTGCTAAGGAAGAGGTGGGTTTCCCATCCCACTTCCTCATATCTTCTCCGTGCTCATGGAGGTAAAACCATAGATCGCCACGTGGAGTGTACCTTCTCTCCTTAGCTGGGGGACGCTGGCTCCTAATAGCAGAGACTCTTGTTTGTCCTGGCGAGATATGGAAGATCCCTTCCTTAATTTCCTCTCTTAGCTTCTGGTGTCCCTCTTCAATCTTCTCTTCCAGGCTTTGGACATGTTCAGCCAGTTTGGTTTCCACAGATGAGACGTGGGCTCGTAATGGGGCGGTGACAGTGTCTTCATAAATCCTGAGTTTACTGACCAACGCACCCACCTTGTCCTCTCCTTCCCTCCATTGCAGCGTTGCTAAGTAGCGGGAATACATTTCTGGCCCGAGTCATGCAAACTTTAACCATATCTGGGAGGTGCACTGTACACCATCTGGACTTTTAGGGAATCTTTCGTCCTCTGAAAAGATTATCTCCAGTACAGCTAACTCCCTTAAGCACCGGATACCTTGTTCCATTGTGTTCCACTGTCCTTGCTATACGTGGAGGTCCTCCTTACAAAGGTATCTCTCCCTCACACTGCACAGCAGTCGCCGCCAGAGGCTGAGAGTTTCCTGCCTCCTTCCAATCCCCTGATCAATGACTACATCTCGAGACAGGGATCCCAGCTGTCTGGCTTCACTCCCATCTAGGATCGTATCGTTAGCTGCGGCATCCCAGATTCGGAGCAGCCAGGTCAGAATGGACTCGTTCGCCTGTCGTGTGAACTCTCTCCGGAGCTCACGTAGCTCACCCAGGGATAGGGACCGAGTGATTATTTCTGGCTCTGTCTCCTCCGGTGGATGTGAAGGTCCCGCCTCTTCGTCATCATTTGCTATGCGAACTGATTTAGTCTTTGATTTCCTTTTCTGGACAGGGGCGACTGCTATTGGTTTTGCTTGTTCTTCTGGCTCCTCGATGGTTTGTGTGGACACGGTGCCGGTTGGCTTATTTCTTTCTCCCTCTGACTCAGCTGTGGTTTGGGTGGACGTGGTGCCTGTGGATTTGCTCCTTCTCTCCTCCCCCTGACAGTGCTGTACCATGTCAAGCAGTGCCCGGTAGGCAGTGGCCAGGGCCCAGCAGGTTGCTGTGAGCTGGCCATCTCTGGAGCTGCCAGAGCATTTTTCCTTCCCCAGTCTTATCATGCTAACAGGATCCTGCAGTTGTTCAGGGGTGAATTTCCAGATCATTGGAGGAGAAAACTTTTCCAAATACTGGCTGATGTCCTCCCACTTCCCGTGCCACTCAGCATTATCTGCTCCCAGGGCAGGTGTCCAAACAACCTCCCTAAAAGGCACTTTTCTGACCCTAAACATGGTGTACACAGTACAGAGCAGACAGAGCAACACTAACAATAACATTATGCTGTCCTTAACATCAAAAGGGAACTCAATATTTTCAAAAACTGTTGTAGCAGGTCTGAAGGGGAAGAAGGAGGTGGGAGGCTGGAAACCATCCACCCCTGTTCCCCCAAAAAGCTGGGTACGATTTTTAATGAGGCCCCAGAGGTAGCAACCCAAACCAGGACAGGCAAACAGGACTGAATACACATTTACAATGAAACTCATTGCTTCTGATGTTAGAATGACATAAACATAATATACTAATAAAGCAATTTGGATCCTTCTCCCTGGTCTTAAAGAGAGCATCAAAACAGGCAAATAATACCCCATCTGTGGAAATACGAACAGGCTCAAATACAACATCCATGTGAACGCATCAAACAACATGGTGATCAGGGAGTTTCTATATCCAAATAGACAAATGCTTAAAATGAAATTGTGATTCTGACTTCTCTCTCTCTGCCCCACATTGGGCGCCAAAAATGTGCTGGTTTAAGAGTTAACCAGCAGGGGAAATGAACTCAACTCGAAGGAGAGATTATAAGTCAGAATAACAATTTATTAAAATAACACAGTAAGTACAATTGTACAAACAAACAATTGGTTTTAACCCACAAAACCCAAATGTATAACCCAGCACCCTGGGGCATGAACAAAGTGGTGTTCCTTGGGCCCTCCCCCTTGAGTCCACAGTAAAGGGAGAGGGGAAAAACCTGCTGGTGGGAGAGCTGTTGCAGTCTGGTCAAAAGTGGTGATTGCAGTCCAGTTGAGGGTGGTGGTCTCAGTCTGGTTGAGAGCGGTGAGCTATGGTCTTCCTCTAGATCCCACGAGTGGTGGTAAGGTTCTGAAACTCCAGGTTTATATATTCTCCAGTTCAGGCAGGAATGGTCAGTCGTTCCCTCAGAGCGGGGAATTCCATAAAAGGATGCTCAGTTCGTTCCCTCAGAGCGGGGAATTCCATAAAAGGGTATGAGGACAGGAACCCCCCCCCACCTCGCAGCCCCCCCCCGACAACAGTTTCTGGGAAAATGGCATGGAGGGCCATAGAATACAGTTTTGGGCTACACCCATCCAGTGATGAATCGGTCCCAGCTGTTCTAACTAGGACAGTGGCACAGCTCAGTTCTCCTGATGGGTTGTCACCCAACACGCTGTATGTGGATGCTGGCAAGAAGCATGACCACAGCTGCATTTCTAAAGGAGGCCAGGAAGCACAGGTTGCCAGTCACAGAATATGCTGAGTTGGAAGGGACCCACAGGGATCATCAAGTCCAATCCTTTGCCCTGCACAGGGCCATTCCCAAGAGTCACACCATGTGCCTGAGAGTATTGTCCAAACACTTGAACTCTGTCAGGCTTGGTGCTGTGACCACTTCCCTGGGGAGCCTGTTCCAGCACCCAACCACCCTATGGGTGAAGACTTTTTTTCTGATATCCAACCTAAACCTCCCCTGACATAAATTCAGGCCATTCCCTTGGGTCCTGTCACTGGTCACCAGAGAGAAGAGATCAGTGCCTGCCCTTCCTTTTCTCCTCATGAGGAAGTTGTAACTGCAATGAGGTCTCCTCTCAGTCTCCTCCAGGCTGAACAGTTCAAGTGACCTCAGCCGCTCTTCACACGGCTTCCTCTCAAGGCCCTTCACCATCTTCGTTGCCCTCCTTTGGACTCTCTCTAATAATATCTTTCTTATATTGCAGTGACCAAAACTGCACACAACTCCTGGACAGTGCTTCCCCTGTCAGATTGCCCATCACAGAAGTCTTACTCCCAAGATACAATGCTTTGCTGTTGCTGTGCTCAAAAAGGTACTTCTGACCCTCACTCCAGCTCCAGGGGCGTCAGCTGTGGGCAGGCAGTTCATTTACCCTCCTCTCCTGGATCCCAACTGACTCAGTCCCAGATTCAGCCTCACAGTGGCTCAGGGTGGAAGTAGCCCTGCAGCTGTGAGATGCCCCGCTGGGGAGGCCGGGCCCTGGGGTAGAGCAAGGCTGCCGTTGCCCTCTCCTTGCAGTTTGAGAACTTGCCCATCGAACGCAGGTGGAGGAGGGAGCAGAGGGCTGTTGTCCCCTGCCAGACCAGCTGCCTGCTGGTGACTGAAGACACGGCTCCATCTGGTGGCGTGAAAGGAATTTGTCTGCATGTCTGTCGGAGAGCAGCCCTGACTTTCTCAGACAGATGCAAACTAGTAGTCTCCAACTATTTTTTTCTCCCTTTTTTTTGTTGTTTTCCTCTTCTGAGGCATTAGGCCCTCTGTGGCTTTGCCTACCTGCCTGATGTTCTTGTTTCTCCCCAGCTGCTGCGATTACTTCTTACAGAGAGGCTTAAGCAGACAAATGTGTCCAGCTCTGGGTCATTCCTGGAGCATGGTACAATTTCTCAGACTGGGAAGAAGCATTACAGAGCTGCAGAGGGCATTGCCGAAGGACAGATTCTCTGTTATGGCCTGAGATGTGACAGCTCTGCTCCCATTAGACATGTCCTGGATCAGATCAGAGATCTGTCTAGCCTGATATCTTCTTCCTGGCAGGACATGCCTGGGGAAGGATGGACAAAGTCAGCTGACAGAATCTAGTGTGCAGGCAGGAATGTCTTGAGTTTGGCACTGTGCCTCTATTTTTAATAACCTTCTGTGGATTTCATCCTTTCTGATTTTGACTCATCACCATCTGAGCCCATGAAGACTCCTGGTGTTGCTACACCTTCTGAAGGTGCAGCTGGATGGAAGACCTCTGCCCTGGGCTAGGAGGTATAAACAGCTGTCCAAGGTTGCATGGACACAGTTCATCTGCATGCTAGAGCTGCAAGTCAGAGCACTTGCCAGAAAAGATTGGTGATATTTCACTGCTGCCTCTCTTTTCCAGGTCCCTTGGAAGGGCCAGAGATGCCAGATGTATCCAGACTGTGAATCTGCTGTTCTTAAGGCAGAGAGGAGCAGTGGCACACAACTGAGAACCAGGTGTCAAGGTGGGCCTTAAGGGGAAACCTTGTACATGAGCTCTCTGTATGACATGGAGTGGTTTGGGTCCTCCAGATCCCACGAGACTCCAAACTGTTTGAGGGCTATGGGACACTTAATCTTGACTGTTGCCTAAGAAGGCAGTGCCAAAAATCAGGTAGGGAAAAGTGGAGGCCTCTTATTTTGTGAAAATCATGGCAGTCCAAGCTCTTTTTCACCCAAATTCCATTCTTTTTTTGGCTGGGTTTTGCTTCTGTTTTGGCATTTTGTGATGGTGAGGATTGAGATGTTTCTCCCCTGGGCTGGCAGATTACACAGCATTTCTCCAAGCAGACCAATTTAATGCATTTCCCTTTGATTTTGCTGTTGGCTTCTCACGAGACATCCCATCAGCTTTCCTGTTGTCTCATTAGGATCTCAGATTCCCATAGCAGTACTGTCCCTTGTTTTCTTTGAGCTGGAGCCACAGCAGGCCCTAAAAAAAACAGCTGTTTGCTGTGGATTATGTCATTAATCAAATACAGGTACCTCCTGGCCTCTGAATGTGTGTCCCAGCACAGCTTGCATACCTGGGCTGGAGAAAGGGATGCAGGGTCATGAGCAAGAGCTTGTGAACTAGGAGTTGTGCTGGGCTTTGAAACAGGCACCCCTGCACTAGAAATCACCGTGTCCATTGTTTAGGTCTGACTGCTCTCAGTGCCCTAGGAGAGGGCAGCATGGGACTGTTTTCCTGTTACCTCTTGAGACTTCCACATGAGCAGAGAAAAGTATGGGGCCACTGTAAGTCCATCTTTGCAGATTCACATTTTGCCACCAGAGAGCTCCCATTCTCTACACCAAGGGTAAGGAAATAGATCAACATGGCAAAAAAGTCCCTCAGTCTCCACTACATCCCAGCTTCTGTAGTATTGACTGGACTCTGGTGCTTGCTCTGCCTTAAAAAAAAAATATTTTTTTAGTGCTTGGATGAGTTTTGCCCCTTCATTGCAGGCTTCTTAGAAGAAGGAGAACATTGAGGCTGGGAATATTGATGCTGCCTAATGAGAGAAAACACAGTGAGCAGGTGGAAAGCTGATAGCAGCAGTGCATTTTTTCTCACTCTGGTGATTTTGGACAGTCTTGCTGATAGAATAGCAGTACTCGAGAGGGTCTGCCTGCAGCACACTCCCGCTGCTAGTTGACCTACAGAAGAATGTAGCACTTGTGCTTCTGGAAAGAGTGTTGGCACATCCAGTAAGTTTAGTTTTGTGCTAATTTGGGTTTGTAATCACCAGTGATACCACTTTTTCTGTTTGATTGCAGGGTTGAAGCATTTACTCCCCCAGACAATGTAATTCTGGCCTTTTCCATCCACTCTCCTCCCTTCCAATGCCTAGTTCCTTTCCTGCTCTTACCTGGCATTTTTGCAAACACATATTTCATCCTCCCACATTTCTGCTTTGCTGACGAGAAAAGTCTTTCACACCTGGAGGAAAAGATAATTGGTATAGTTCATTCAATATGTGAAACTCATAACTGAAAAATTAGTAGTGTGAACACTATCGTGAGTTTGGAAAAATGACTGCATTCCATTTTTTGAAGTTGATGTGATTGATGTCTTGCTTTCTGTCATGGGTTTACTTGTTCTAAAAAACCAAACGGGGAATTTTTCTTTCCCCTGCTGCATGTGGGGGAGGGATGTTGAATGGAGAGGACAGTTTTCTGCCTTGGGTGATTATCTACACAAAGGAGCTGGCTGGCAGAACTACATTCCAGCCTGATAGCCCTCTCTGGGGCTGGGTAGGGGGTGGGGAGTTTTTCTCCCCTCCTCTCCTTGGAAAGCAGCGCTTCACTTTGTGCCTTAAGGGGAGCAAGGTGTGTTGAAAAAGCTTGGAGGCCGTTTTGCTCTCCACCTGGCCATCTGTCTGTTCTCCGGCCTCGGTTTGTCTACCGTCTGCTCTCTTGCCAGCCGAATCTGCTCAGATTTCATCGTAGAGTTTGTGCCCACCGACGAACAAAGGGGAAGTCCTGTCTACAGCCAGTCGCAGACACCGTGAGTTTAGTGGGAAAGAAACTGCCTTTCTTTTCCCTTTCTTCCCCTTCCCCTCCTCGGTGGGGGCGGAGATCTCCATTTCGGCTCCTCCCGCGCTCCGGGCCCCCGCACGGTGACCACCAGTGATCCAACAGCGCCCCCTGCAGGCCACCACAGAGCACTGCAGGCTCTGCCCCTCCAGCGATCCAACAGCGCCCCCTGCCAACCGTGATTAGGATCGCGCAAGAGGACAGAGAAGTATCAGGCTGTCTCCTTTTTGAAGGGGACTTCTGGATACAGGATTATTGCTTAGTTGTTTTTGTGTTCTGTTACTGTTTTTGACAATATACATATATCCTTTAATAAAGGGTCGTTATTTCTTCCTTTTTCCATACTTCCTGGGTTGGAGCTTCTTAATTTTGGCTTTGCAATTGCTGAGAGAGAAGAGTTTGGTCTACCTCATAACTCATCCTCCTTAGGAAAACACTCCAGTCTCTTTAAACTGAGACACTTTCCTTCTGCGTCTTTCCTCCCAGTTAACCATGCTGAGAGCGTGAGGAAGCCCTGGCTCACCTGGAGCCTGAGACATTGGCCAAGGAGCAGTGGCCACCCCCATGGCATCTTGGCAGAGATGAATCAGCAAACTAATGCCCTCAGCTCCTGGCTCCAGCACAGTTTGAAGGGCCCATCCTTGCTCTCAATTTGCTCCATCTCCTCCGTTTTTGTTTAGACACCCCTTTTCTGTGGTGCCCTGTGCCTGACAGAAATCTGAAAGGAACTGAGGGCTGAGGAGAATAAAGCACTAGAATTCACAACAGTCACAGCTCATCAGATCTACTCTCCCTTGTCCTGTGTTAGAGCCTCTTAAACAAAGGACCTGTCTGCCAACAGTAACAAACGTACCTCAAAAAAGCAGCAGTAGCTGTATATTTACAACAGCCCTTTCCTGTAGAGCCTCCAACCAGTGGATGTAAGCTGTATGACTATGCCCCAAAGACTGGCTCCTTCCTCTCCTTGCCTTGCTGGCTGGAGATGATGAGTGAGGGCCACACTTGGCTGTAGCCAAGAGGAAATACACAGCTCAGTGCTGTGGGAATTTTTATTGCAACTTACTGTGCTCTGAAAATTGTCTGGTGCAAACCTAGGCTTGTTTTTCTCTGTTCCTTTTGCTTCTTGCTTGGAGTCCTGCAGGTTGTCTTGGGAGGTGGGTTGCCTGCAAGTTTCATTATGCTGACCACTGATGGGCAGTCATAATGCAGGGGAAGTGGGGCCAGAGGTAATCAGAAAAGCTAGGTTAGTCTAGAAAGTGTGATCTTCAAGGGAAGATGGAGGGAACTGGAAGGCTGTTTAATTCAAGGAAGAGAGGACTTCAGAGGTTATAACAATCTCCAAAAATCTGTGAAGTCAGCTGTGGAAGAATAATGTGTTCTTGTGTTCCTGCTAGCTCTTAGTATTAGATTATAGCAAGGGATGTCAGAGTTTGAAATCAGAAAAATGTTTCCAAGGATGAGGATAGCAAACCAGAAGACCAAGTTCCTTGGGAAAGAAATTAGTGTCCTTTCTTAGAGATTCTTAAAAAGCAGCATCAAAAATGGTGTAACTCCTATCCATGTCCTCAGCTGGTCTGTCAGAGCAAAGGACGTTCTCAGCAAATATTCCTGTAGTATACAAAGAGAAGAGTTGAAGCACACCTCAAGAGACTCGCCAGGCAAGTTTTTTCTCCAGGAAACCAAGGACACAGCTCTGGCACTTTTCAGTTTGACGTGGCTTCCTTCTGCTTTTGGTTGGAATTAGCTGTCTGGAAATACTATCCTAATCTTGGAGACAAGCCTGTTCTGCAACACAGAATCTGGTTGCAGATTCACCCTTTTCTGGTCACGACCATCTCTGGCTGCACAGGGCAGTAGCATTACATCAAACATGATCTCCCCAAGCTAGAAATAGAAAATTGTAGCAGTCCTAAGTACAGCTTGGCCATGTATATCCCTGTTTGAAATAAGAGACTGCAGCAGCTCTAGGGAGTTTGTAGGAGGCCCCCAGGGTATTGTTTTTTCTCGGGAGTACTGAGTTAGGCAGGATTGCCAAGCAAGGCAGAAGCTTTGTGCTGTCTGACACGCTGTGAGCTCCATCTTGCTGAAAAGCAAACCAGTTGAACTGAACAGCCACCTCAGAGAGAGACATCATCTGCAAAACACTCCCTCTTGGTGAGCTCCCTGCTCTGGGTGCAGAACCTGATTCTCACTCCAGCATGCGGGAATTTTAAGTGGAGTGTGAACCTATGCTGGTGCCAAATGAAGTGTCCTCTCTTTCTCCTGAACCATATAAGGGATCTTTAACATTAATGAATTGTCTTCAGTGCTGCAGCAGCTGTGAAATGAGTTCCACTTTTAGCTGAAACAGGCTGCATTTTGACTGAAGAATTTTTCCTCTCCAGATTTTCACTAGAAATTTATATCTAAAGAATGTATATCTTGTATATCATTGACCATCAGAACAGCTTCTTAGCCTGAAGGAATCCTGATTTGCAACACAACTGTGTCACAGGACCAAAACTCTGGGTGTCCTGGAAAGCTGTCTAATCTGTGAGGGTGCATCAAAGCAGCAAGACTCCTGCAATAGTAAACCTAGCGCAGGTCAGGGGAAATGTTTCAAGTCAGGGTGAATTTGGGGACATATATTGGAAGACCAGCATATGCTGGCATGAATCTGTGTGTGAATATCCAGAGGCAAAAAAGGCAGGGCTCTTCTAGAGTGGAAGAACTCACTTCATCATTTATGTACACACTCTAACACTTGCATTTTCATGAGGCTTAGGTATTTCATGTATTTGCCAGAACAAACACAGGAGGGGACTCTTCTAAGCTCTTGATAGAATAATTAAGGAGCTTCATGTCTACTTGTGATTTTCCACTTTTTTGAGTTTACTTTGAAATGTGAACATAAAATCTGGCACTCTGTGAATTTGTGATGGTCTTGGGAGCACTGGTTCCCCATAAAA